TATAGTGTAACCCCTTTAGCCTGTTTCCCAGAAGGATCTACTATGACCGTGCCTCCAGATGGATAATGTTGTGTCTCTGTGGTCCATGTCACATCTGTACTACAACTCCTTGGAAAGGACTTAAACACTACATCACAAAACAGTCAGTATGAGTCTAATTTTGCTTTTAATTCTCCTTTCGAAACTTTTGGTTCTATGTTTGTCTGCTTACTGCTCCCTATGAAGGATTTTCCATCAAAATATGTTTTTTTATAGTGCCTTAAACTTGCCACTGAATGTGGAGTTGAATTACATGCACACAAACTGCTTTCTTCCGTGTCACCCCCACTTGTTTGTTTCTTCTTTCGTAGGGAAGGAAGAATGACCACAGAGTCTGTGGTGTTACGTTTTTGTGAATGTAGACTGCTGAGATATTAAGTAGCTTGCTTACTGTTTGATCAGCATTTCTGAAAACCGCTCACTCTCACAGCTCCAGACGGGGAAGTGAGATGCCCCTGGAGCAGAACCGGGTTGTGCTGGTGGTTCCTCACTGGGTGGAACTAGAACGTGGCAGAGGTTGCACACCCTGTGCTCTCACTGCACCCCAGTGATTACAGGGCTTGCTAAGTGTTTTTCAGATTCAAAGGAGGATCTATTTCAAGTTTACCACCAAAAGAAAGACAGAGAAACCACAAGCCATGACCCGTCTTGTCCGTCTGCAAGTCTGTTTGCTTCTGCAAACTACATTATGCATGCATAATATATATACCTTTATTCTCAAGAACACCTTAAATTGATCAAAAGTGACTGTTAAGACTTTTACATTGTTACCTCCCCAAAATTTTCTAAATGGTCTTAAAAAAATATGGAAATTGAGCCTTCTCTGGCTGTCCATTCTGAACTGCTAAAAAGTGGCTTATGTCCAACAAGAAATTTAATGTCCACTTTATATATTGACCCCATTCTTTCATAGTCTCCTCACTGTAATTGTATCTCCCTCTGGTGTCGGCAGGCAGATGCATCATGGTTCAATAAGTTCAGTGACTCTTCACTGTGAACTGAGGGGAGTGTGATGATACACTAGAATAGCTCAAGCATTTAATTTTAAAGTGTTTGAGTGGAGCGAAATGAAGCGCTCACCCTGGAGTGTTTCAATATAAAGAGGAATGTCCTTCCTGTTGCTTCAGCAGCAGGATCTACACTTCCTGTGGGACTGCAGTAGCTAAAAAGGGTCTTTATAACAAGAAGGACAGGTCAGGGTCAGCATATCCGTCAACCAATAGCAGTTCAGGACAGTAATTGACAAATGGTTTCTGCAGGTCTGGAATGTATATCTTGTTCAATAACATTCAAATATGTTCAGCAACAAAGAGATGTAATTACATAATTATTTTAAGAAAAAAATGATAAATGTCCTATATTTTAATCTTTAATTGGTGTACTTTTAGAAATGGAGAATGATGAAAATCCTTGTTTTCCTTTCTTTCATACAATATTTTTTTAGTATAATATGCAGTATTATTTTAGTATTATATACTATTATAGTTTTTATGAATTCTCTCAATTAGCTTTATAATTTCAGTTTTAGTTGTAGTTTTAAGTTTTAGTAATTTCATGTGCTTTTGTCATTTTTATTAGTTTTTTAATATTTCTGGTTAATATATTTACAGTAATATAATCTTATAATAATTTCAGACTTTTGCTTATTTTACTACTTAAGCATATAGTTCAGTTAGTTGCCAAGGCAGGATTTCTACATTTTCATGTAAGTTTTTCGTGTAATATATATTTTATTTTTGTTTGAGTTTTATTGAAATTACCAAAATTTGTTTATAGAAATAATTTTATTATTAACTTTAGTTTTGGTTAACGATAACAACATTGGCAATATGTTGTTCATATAAGAAACTAGAACAAACAGGTACTCAAAAATGCAGATATTTGTAACTGGTCATTTTCAACCATTGGAAGTTAGCTGTGTGTGTGTGTGACTTTTCACTTTAGTTTGATGTATGATCATAGTATCAGTCTGACTTTGTGACTTGGGCATTGTAATTCATGACTACAAGCCTGCATATTTTCTTTTAAATATGTCTGTCAAGTTAAGCACAATTTATCACATTTGAACATTTTTAAGGCAGGAAAAAAGGACATTTTCATCACATAAAGATGACTATGCCCTTCATGAAGACTTCACAGCAATAGAGCTCAAGTACTACTCAAACACTGCAGTTTACAAGCACAGACTCTGTGTTGACTGTGAAACTTTGCACCCTTAAATAAACCTGATACTTGAGGTCGACAGTAATTGACATATTTCAGTGCTTGCGTGGCTTTGGACTCACTCATGTGTGAATTTGTCTAGTTTGACTGTGGATGTGGTAGAAATGGGCTGAGGCTCATTCCCAGAGGCTTTCAAACATGGATCTGCCTTTCTGGCATGGCAAAAGCACATTTACTCAGTGACCTAAATAAAAGACTGGATTCAGAATGCTGGGAGAGCAGGTCTGCATTGATTCTCTAGCGGTTTAATTTTATTAGCGTTCAGATGATGGCTTGATATTTTAACTTAACACATTAAATTTAAAGACTGTTAGTTCTGAATGTCTGTGGTAAAAACATTAAACGTGAAGCCTGTGGATGCTGTTATTTTAGAGTAACAGTACCGTCACACATACACACACCTTTAAAAAGGGATTAAGAAAACAGGTGTGGAAAACGTGCCACAACGTGTCCTTGTTCATACCAGATCCGTTCAGAAGTTCATTCATTCAGTAAAGGTGTTCAGTGAAGGAAGTGTACGCCATGCTTAGTGTCTCAAACAGAATACACCCTAAGGAGGGGTACATTAAATATAACTCTCAGAGGATTTTCCCTTCCTTATTTTCCTCTCATAACCCTAACAGACTTGTACACTTTATTAAAGGTGTTGTTTTTTTTTTTTTTAATGAACATGTTTTTCCCTCTTAATTATAAATGGGGAGCCGCTTACTTTTATAAGGTACATTTATATCTTTTAGGAGAATTTGGTGTCTGTCAGAGAAGAATTCAGTGGTTACACATTCCTGGAATGTATTAGTTTTGCTGTGGCACCACAATGAAAACTTTATTGTGTGGGAGCTGACCAGCATGGCCTCATTGGGCAGTTTTAGTACCACGTGTGTGTGTGTGTGTGTGTGTGCATCAAACACATCATCCCTCACTATACGTGTTTCTCTCAGCGTCAAATCTGATCATCCCTGAGAGTCATGTAACTTCCTTTTCTCACAAGATTAGGTTGCATCAGACAGCATCTCCCACAGTAGGTGGGAGAATGTGCAATATCTTTAAAGGGATACTTTTCTCATTTTAACTACCATTCAGAAGTTTGAGGTCAGTAAGTTTGTAAAATACAGTAAAAGAGTAATACACTCTTAAAAATAAAGGTGCTTCAAAAGGTTCTTCAAGCGATGCCATAGAAGAACCATTTTTGGTTCCACAAAGAACCATTCAGTCAAAGGTTCTTTTAAAGAACCATCTCTTTCTTACCTTTTTATAATCTGAAGAACCTTCTTTCGCCACAAAGAACCTTTTGTGAAACAGAAAGGTTCTTCAGATGTTAAAGGTTCTTTATGGAACCATTTAGACAAAAAGGTTCTTCTATGGCATCATGAAGCACCTTTATTTTTAAGAGTGTACTGTGAAACGTTTTCAGTTTTAATATATTTTATAAATGTAATTTATTGCTTTAATGGCAATGCTGAATTTTTAGCAGGCTTTATTTCATTCTTAAGTGTCACATGATCCTTCAGAAATCATTCTAATGTGCTTATTTGCTGCTTTAATAAATATTCCTTATTATCAATGTTGAAAACTGCTTAATATTTTTGTGGATTGATTTTTTTTTTTTCTTCAGGATTCTTTGATTAGAAATGTCAAAAGAACAGCCTTACTGACCACAAACTTTACTCGCCCCCATATTGTTCCAAACATCTATTCTGTTATTTTTCCTCCGAAAACAAAAGTGTCGTGTTTAAGTATTGTTACACAGCACGTGAGTAGAATTCACTTTTTCATGTGTTGGCTTGAAACCCTCGGGTCACTATGAAATGTATAAAGAGCTGCATGAAGGTCTTTCTACAATTCTACAACTTTTTACAAAGGTCTTCTAAAATTTCTACTTCCTACATAAAGAAAAAAAAAACAATAATCCAAGGACTTGAGGGTAAGTCAATGGCAGAATATTTATTTATGGGTAAACAATCACATTTAAAGCAGAACTCCTCATCTTTCCTATAAGCTAATATGACCTCTCTGGACTACACAAGCACAAGACTGCATCTTTGGAGCATGTGTGCTCAATTTTTCCAACATTTTCTAGTTCTTGTGCAATCATGGTGTGAGGCTGCAGCGGCAGCTGATGGCACACCAAGTGTTCACCGCTGCTTTCAATCTGTTCACAGCTGTTTTGCCATGAAAGCGTGTCTTGTTTATCATTTTGGCTTTAAGACCCTTTACATTTTCGCTCATACAGTACTGCATCAAAATATTAACTTTCACTTGGGTCATTCATGCAGTGACTTTTAACACATTGGCACATTTGTTGCAAAACACAAAAAGAGTTCTGCTCACTCTCAGTGATGGAGACACAAGCCAAGAATCCTTGGTGTTGGAATGAGGAGATCTGCATGTAATCAGTCCAGTGGAATGTGCACAACCATGGACAGAGAGACTTCAGAGAATGTGGGAGAAGTAGACAGCGGCCGTCTTTGTGTTATGACAGAGAAATGTGTAATGCTTTTGTTTCCATTCATGTCAGTAAATGTTGGTTATATGCAAGTTCTCATTTTCACTGTGTGCATTACAGTATTATGTTTTTCTGAGAGGTCTTTGTGTTCATACTTCTTGTCCACGCCAGTGAGTTAACCACATTTGTTAGTGCAATATTGTTGCACATACCAGCCATTTGACAAAATAAGAGGTTACAGTGTTACGAGTTATGTAAGGTTTATTCCAGATCTCTCTCTCTCCCTGTTTTCCAGGCCATGGAGAATGCCACTGCGGTGAGTGTAAATGCCACGCTGGTTATATTGGAGACAACTGTAATTGCTCTACAGAGACTGCTTCCTGTGTGTCGGACGACGGCAAGATCTGTAGCGGGCGGGGCAGCTGTGTGTGTGGGCGGTGCCAGTGCACTGAGCCAGGGGCATTTGGGGACACATGCGAAAAATGTCCCACCTGTCCAGATGCTTGTGGAACAAAGAGGTATGAGACAGAGGATGCTGAAACTAACTTAACTAAAGCTAACTCGATTTCTAATGCGAGGTCTGTCTGTAAAAGTGTATACATTAGTGTAAATATTTTTGCATATGGGAATTGTACTATCCGATAGCATACAGTTTCATACTCATTTGCAGCAGTTCAACCTTATTTTACTTTAAATTGGCACTTCCTTTTCATAAAATTTATTAGGGCTGCCCCCTAATAGTCGACTAACCATTAGTTGATGAGAAGAGGCTTGGTCGACCAAAATTTTATAAGTCGCTTAATCGCAGAAAAAAAAAAAATCCACAGGAAGTGGTGAGGTCATGCAGAGTGTGGAAGCTGAACAGTAGCGCTCACTGCATGACAGATGAGCGCCAGTGCAGTCACTTGCTCTTAAAATACTCATACAGATAAGAGTAATACATCTTTCGAATCTGTAAGAACTGTTTATTTGTGTGTACTCACAATAACAACAAACATGGAGCTTGTAAAATAATGAAAGCAAACAGGATGCGCTTTCTGCCGTCTCAGTCTCTGTTAGTGCTGGGCGGTATACCGGTTCATACCGAATACCGGTGTTTATTTTTGTTATGATATACATTTTTTAAATACCGCAATACCGGTGCATGTCGTTAAAACAACGTTCGGAACGCGACACTGTTTGAAAGGGGTCCCTTTTCACTGTCGCATTGTGTTGAGGGAACAGCTGTATGCGTTCCGAAACTGAAGCTGTAGAACTAATAGAACGTGATGATGACAGAAGAACTCATCCACAATATCCACATTGACCGCCACAAATATCCACCGCCCCCTGCCATCAGCTCCCGCGTCTCACACACACACGAGCACGACTTTAGCA